AACTGGTCCCTTGCCTTCGGAGCTTCTTCGCATCGACGTAGGTGCTTAAAACTGCAACGGGAAGAATCAAGGCTTTGAACTCCTCGCCTGTGGCTCGTCGTTATGCTGCTGCGTCTGTCTTTAGGTGTTCTCCCGTTTGTGGGCTCCGGTACGTCGAAGCGTTGTTAAATAACAAGAACCCAATCTTATATTCTACATAGCGCTCGCTCAAGTGGCGGCGCAATTCACGGACCCTGATAATGGAATAACTTTCTGGGGTATCACGGACGCTGCCCATAGTGTCACTTAGTGAGCCCTTCGGGATGCCGAAAAATATATATTTTAGAGATTTACCTCCGTCTCAGTGGATATGTATTTCCTCCTCTGGCTACCTCCGGCGCAAATCCCACTGAATACATTGGCACCATCGTTTCCCCGCTGGCCAACCAGTGGAGCGGATTCGCCCTATCCGGATCTATGATCGACAGTCTCCTCATCGCTGCCTGGCCCAACAACGGCAAAATCGTATTTACCACGCGTTATGCTACGTACGTCACGATCCGCGTTATTATTATCTTCAACTGACTGTTTTGCAGCACCAACGTTCTGCCTGAGTGAGTCCTTTGTTCACGCCCTTGGCGTCCATGACCCAACATTTTTTACAGCGTGTACCCTGGTCCAATTATCACCACTATGGCCAACAGTTACGTCAACGCGACGCACTGGAAGTGGGTTTTCCGATGCCAAAACTGCACTTGTAATTATTTTATTTCTTCTCTTTGATGCCCCACCTCATCCAAGTTTGTTTATTCAGCCTGGACGGGCGGAAGCATCGATGTTAGCTCGCAAGCAGCGGTGCCGGCTTGGTCAGTAAAATGTGGAGGGTATTTATTTATTTTTTTGATGAAATTATCATTCGTAGGTCTGCTTCTACTATCGCTGTCGACAACCCGGCGGATCCCGGAACCACTATGGTTCAACATACTGACTGTGAGAAATTCCACGGAAGGCCTAAGCAGCGCGGCTTAACCGATGGCTCTTTCAGTTGGCTTTTATTTCTTCCCATTCGGCGAAGCCCATGTTACGGCCGATGTGTACAATAACTGGGTAGCAGGAGGAACTGGGGGAGGTACGCCGGCCGTGGAATCTTTCGCCAAGGTCCTTAGATAATTCTAGGGACGACTACGACGACGACTACCACAACAACAGCATCAGTACCTCCTCCAACAGGAACGGTAAGACTCAACCACTGCAGTGTAACTATAAAGGTTGACATTGTTTCAGGCTACACCGTACGAGGCGTTGCTGATTTCTATACCAATGTGATGGCTAATTCTTTTCCCTCTCTATTAGAGTAGATTATATAATCGTGGGCTCTGGACCTGGCGGTATCATCACAGCAGATCGATTATCGCAAGCTGGAAAGTCAGTCCTGCTACTGGAGCGTGGAGGGCCGAGTACTGGGCAGACTGGGGGGACGTACCAGGCCGAGTAAGTATGATTCACTTTCTCCAGTTGCATTCAAGCTTATATTTATTTCAACAGCTGGTTGAAGGGAACCAATGTACTGTTTCTCGGTTTGTTATCATGGATGCGATATTTATATCTCTTCCAACAGATGACAAAGTTCGATGTGCCTGGGCTGTTCGAATCTATGTTCACCGATCCAAACGACTTTTGGTGGTGCAAGGATATCACAGTCTTTGCTGGATGTCTGCTGGGAGGAGGAGGATCGGTAAACGGCGCGTACGTAAATCGAACACAGTTGAATTTCTTCTTCCTCAATCGTTTCTAGTCTTTACTGGCTTCCCTCCGACTCGGATTTCTCCACTACCGTCGGCTGGCCGCAGGAATGGACAAATCATGCGCCATACACGGCGGCACTGAAGGCGCGACTCCCTCCAACAGATGCACCCTCTACAGATGGCAAGCGGTACCTAGAACAGGTCTCGACCGTGGTCACACAACTCCTGACTCCACAAGGCTATCGGAACGTTACCATCAACGATTCACCGGACGCGAAAGATCATATTTACGGTTCGCTTTCCTTTGTGCTAGAATTTACATGTTGAAGTTCAACTTGACAATTTAGGGTACAGCGCGTACGATGTGAGTGGATATAGTTTCGTCACTTTGTTTCTGTCTCATCAGTCCTCCTCAGTTCATCAAAGGCAAACGCGGTGGCCCCGTTGCAACGTATTTGCAGACTGCCTTGGCGCGCAAGAACTTCCAGCTCAAACTGTACACAAATGTACTGAACGTTGTCCGCAACGGCTCGCAAATCACTGGTGTGAAAACGAACGACACGACGGTCCCGGGCGGGATTTATCCCTTGACCGCCAAAGGTCGTGTCATCCTTGCGGGTGGGTCCTACGGGAGCGCGCGCATACTTTACCGCAGCGGAATTGGCCCTACAGTACGCTGTTTACGATGTCCACGGTTTTTTTTAAACAATGCTGCAGGACATGATCAATCTCGTGAAAAGCGATCCGGTTGCTGGCCCGCTTCTCCCATCGTCGACGCAGTGGATCAATCTTCCTGTCGGGTACAATGTGGGTGGTTCAATTTTTTGTTTTCTCTGCAAGAATGAACCATGAAATGCAGGTGTCGGACAATCCATCTATCAATGTGTGTGGCTTTATGTTCCCTCGACACATTTTGACAACTTTCCCAGTTGGTGTTCACTCACCCATCGGTGTGCGTGTTCCTCTCTGTTGTCACCAAGCCCTTAATTAACCGATAAACATAGTAACTCGTATGGTAATTGGGCAAACGTTTTTACCCCGGGACCGCCTGCGGCCGACGCTTCTCAATATCTGGCCAGTCAATCTGGTATAATGGCGCAAGCATCACCCAGGTACTGGTCTTCATAGCTCAATCTTGATTATTATTTAACGCCCGCAGACTTAACTTCTGGCGTGCAATGGGGGCAACTGACGGAGTAACACGATGGGTGCGCTTTCACGTAATCATCTTCAAATTAAAAACTTCAACTTGTGTGACAGATGCAAGGCACCGCACGCCCAGGCGCTGCCTCTGTTACCACCAGCTTCCCTTACAATGCAACGTATGTTTATTTTTATTGGGTTCTGATCTATGCTTATGCTTGGGTTCTCCGTAGTCAAATGTTCACGATAACAGCATATCTGTGCGTATTGAAATGGCCGCAGAGTGTACCTTGTACGAGTATGGTTCAATAGGTCCACTGGAATTAAATCTCGCGGACGCCTCGGTATCAATGCCGCCCTCAACGCCATGCCTCTCGTCAATCCCTGGCTGGTAGACCCGGTAGATAAATCAACCCTTATAGCCGGTCTCAAGGAAATCGTTTCCACTGTCTCGCAAGGTAATTGGTGTCGTCCTATTGCCGCATTTTACTCACCACGACCAGTTCCGGGATTGGTTATGATAACGCCTGACAACACCACGACTATTGACGCTTATGGTATGTCTCCTCGCAGCCGTACCCATTGTCACTAACCTGAATTTGAACAGTCAATAGTTACGATCCGGTCAGTGTCTTGGATTTTTTTTGGCAATGTTACTTATCGGACTGGCAGTCTACTATGGATTCCAACCACTGGGTAGGATCCAACATCATTGGACCAGCAGGCAAGGCCGTTGTGGACGTCAATACCAAGGTTTACAACACGAACAATCTGTTCATCGTTGATGCGTCGATCGTGCCCTCATTACCATACGGAAATCCGCACGGCATGATCATGTCGATGGCGGAACAGGCGTCGGCGAAAATATTGGCATTAGCTGGTGGCCCTTGATACATGTATTGTAATATTTCCTTGAAAGTCGTTCCGCAGTTCAACACGTATTATCCGCATCCCACATTTTAGTTCCTATTTCATATAGTACGTAAGAGTCGTACCATTTGCAACACCCGTCGCGCCACGGGCTCCCTCAAAGTCTCAAGACATCGAGATGGGCGCTACAGGCCACAACGCGGAAAGTCAAAACCATGGCTTTTGACAGGGTCCTGCGTAAAAGCACTTGTGGAAATTGGTGCGCTATTGTTTGAGCAGCGCGGCCTGTTCTGTTCACTACCACATGCAAAACAAAAATTTCAGAGTCCTCTCAAAGCCAAACCAACTTTACTTCCCACGGTTCAAAACTGTGACTCCGTGACCGCATACAATGTTCTATTCGCCAATTATTTACTGCCAGGGGTCGAGCTCAAGTTCCTCAGGAGTGGGTTCAGGTAACTTAGATTTCAACCTGAATTCTCATTCAACTATGTGCAAATTTCAATCGCTTCAATTCGAGAACTTGCAGAATATGGTCAAACCATGACCCCTATCTATCATTCCACCGCTTTTTGTCACACACCCTTACTGTCTCACAACCTCAAACCGACAAAAAACGGGACATTTTTGCAAAGTCGCGACAGTGCAATTTTACCACTTTCCACATTTGCCCTACCTGGGTCCTATTCTCCTTTAATAAAGGGACTTTTGTGGCATTAATGGGGTAGTGGTAACCTGGGTCGTTCTGGAACTCGCCTAGAGAGTTATATTTTAATGCCAGATTACTCGTTGTGAATAGAGTATCTTGATGGTCATTACCAAGAATCTCTTTTGCTGCTCCAGCATAGCAGTATCCAGCTCTTCTGCCTTGGAGAACTCTCCTAAACTGTAATATGTTGATGCCAGACTACCCATTTCAAATAGAGTCTCTGGATGGTCATCACTAAGAACCCTTTTTTGCTTCTCTAGTACAGAGTGGATTCGGGTATATTAAATTTGCAACCTGAATCCTCGCTGAATCCCATTCAACCAAGTACGTGCGAATTTCGATCGCTTCAATTCCGAGAACTTGCAGAATATGGTCAAACCATGACCCCTATCTATCATTCCACCGCTTTTGTCACACTCCCACCCTTACTGTCACACAACCTCAAACCGACAAAAAACGGGACATTTTTGCAAAGTCGCGACAGTGCAATTTTGCCACTTTTCCACATTTGCCCTATCTAGGTCCTATTCTCCTTTAATGAAGGCACTCTCGTGGCATTAATGGGGTAGTGGTAACCTGGGTCGTTGCCATTTACGGGTTACGTAATCGTGATTCGACCCGCCGGGGGTTCGATTCCCTCTTAATGCATGCATTTTTTTTTGTTGTGTACAACAATTTCCTTCCTTGAAAAGAAGCAAAAGTTCTCTTTCGCTCGCTATTCGTAATGAACTTGCGCGCTATTTTAGTAACCGTGTTAGAATTCATAGTTATAACCATTCTGTTGAATAAGTTGCGAGTGTATTTGTTCGAATAATCTTTTTTGGTCGAGTCAGAATAAGTAGAGTGCATGCCATCGGTGGCCATGCTGTAGTAGATGCGAAGCGAATGAATGTGTCTCCACACGCATCAGCGTACACGTCGCTTGATTTGTCCATTTATCGTTTTTAAAATATTTTCTCTCGACTATATCTTTCGCTCCCTTGATCGGTCCATAAATTATTTCGTCAGTCATTCACGGTGCTCCCATGGAGCTGTTTTACAGGTTTCGACCGGTTGGGAGGGCGATCGTACTGGTTGACTTCCCATAAGCATAGATAATTTTTTCAGAATATATTCGCATTTCCGGCAGCGATGCCAAGGCACGTGTTAGGACCCCATCGGACTTGGATCTGAGTATTATCCGTTCGGAACCTCTTTCAAACCATTATATTAGCTACCTATTACGCTGAATAAACACATTGGGCGACTCTCCGCTCGGGCTTTCGCCGAATTCGGTTGCATGTCACAAATGTCACAGACTGTCCAAGACCTGACATGACGCCGCCTTATGGATGCTCTCAAGAACCCCCCACTCTATTTACATTCTAATCTTGACCCACCAGGGCTGTTTTAATGACTTTGTGACCAATTCACCGCTGCTGTGAATCGCTGGGACTTACCCAGATGCTTGCGTCCCGGTAGCACTGAGTAACAATCCGGCTCTGTTACGACACTTACACTCTCTCAATGACAGAGCTTAAATGATACATTGCTTCCGAAGGGTCGCCGGCGCAGCAGAACTCATAAAGCTGGGCTCGTATAGGCTCGTATCCAAATGGATTTTTCTGCGCCTCCGCATGTGTCATCCTCCACCAGAGCCATCCCACTCCACCTCATCGATCCTCGCCTTCGCCCTCTTCCTCAGGGTAATGACCGTGACCTGACTGACCCCTACACCATCGCCAAGGCCAGCCTCCACCCTGCCGTCAAAGTTGCCGGTGTCCGTCAGTGTTGCAGTGGGGACACGTTAGTTGGAGCAGGGACGTGTTATAATCTGAACTCAAATAATCTTATGGGAATGACACGGAATAGATTTTGTGATTAAATCTCATATGCTGACATCGCTGGCACCCCTCCGTTATTCCGCAGATATTATTTAGTCTTATGGGAAGTCACCCACTGTTAACGTTACAGACGAGCTTAAATTATTTTTATATCATGATTATATCTATCTATGTAGACGAGTTGCGCTGATTCTCATCTCTGGCGTACCTGAATTCCAACTTGCAGGTCGAAAGGCTGTCAGGGACAGCGAGTAAACCTCAAGTGTTGAAGCTTAAGTAGGACCAAGAAACGTCCAGGAGACAGTCTGAACTGCGACGCTGCAGTTGAAGAGTGGTCGAGTCAATTTCAACTGCGGCTATGAGCATCTATCACAGAAAATTCGGCGCTAACCGGAATGCACTGTCAGTAGGCGGTGAATTTTAAATGTCTTTGTACTTTATACGGCTAGTAAATTGCTAATATCTACACCAAATTTACCTGAAGCATGTGCGGTTCTATGGATTCCCTAACAGGTTGTCGAGGGCATGGACCAGCACTCAACCACATATATATGCATGCTGAACAGCTGATGAAGTTGCGCGGAGACGTCGTGGCCAGATTGGTTGAAGGTTGAAAATAAATGCTTTCTGTGACAACAAGTTGATCAACGCTCGCGAAGATTTCAAGGGTTGTGCGCACCTATGGGCTATCCATGTCTGGGCCAAATGAAAATGAGTCCCAGTTTGGGTCTGAGATGTCATCCAGAAGAATTATCTCAAGGCCCTCGTCTCGCAACGCGTTGAACCCATCCAGAACCGAACGCGGGAAGGTATTCGCAAAAATCCGGACGTAATTGAGCGAACGCACGCCGTTCACATGCCACCGAGACTCGATCATCTTCAGTAAAGAATCGTCCGCTGGTAAAAAATCCAACGTGATATCTATCCGAGTCAAACGAGGGCAAAGATCTGTCGAGGCACCGGTCACCGTCATGGCGCGGAAAAATCGCTCTGGTGGATGATTTTCATCTTCAAATAAGGAGGCTTGGAAATAAGACAAGGTAGGAACATGTTGTAAGATTTGGATCAAGTTGGGCGACACAATTTTGTCCACTGACAGGCCAATCAACCTGCAGCCAGAACGAAGCAGAAATGGGAGAACGGTATCATCGCGGTCGCTGTTGTGAAAGAGATATTCAAGGTTCGGCGCTTGAAGCCAGGGTAAATTCAGATTTCCGTAGCCTATCACAGACAGGCGCCGCAGATGAGGCAGTACGACGATCGGGGTTGTGGGTGATATATCATCCTCCTCGCCAGACACCCGGGCCCCCATCCCACAGTCCACCAGGTTTGGTGTCAGCCGTAGGGTTTCGAGACCAAGTTCAATCGAGTCGAATGACGCCCGCAACTGCGTAATTTGCTGCCATGGAGCAGAGATGGAGATTGAATAATATGCGTTCTCCCACTCGTGATTGGTGAGTTTAATCTGCCGTAACTGAGGAGCAACGGCAAATATATCTCTGAACTCGGGGGGTAAGTTTCCGCGACCTGAACCGATCTCTAAGCATCTGAGCAGCGAGAGCCGGCCTCTGACCTGCGAGATCGCGCGGAAAATGTCGGGATGGCCATTATTCCAAATGAATTTGAACCGCGCCCAGCGATTGCTATGGCGAACCACAGCCTCTAGAAGTGGGAGCAGTTCGGAGAGCTCGTTGTCGGCTGAATGAAACCAGTCGAGTTTCACTTCTAGTGGAAGATTGCCGGACCTGCGAAGTTGATTTTCCAGGGTGGGCAAACTGGGGTAACGCTTTCTAGTGCCCCAAACGAAGATGTGAATTGAGGACCAAAGATGCTTGTCCCCAACGGCAGCATCCATCCAACGCTTGCATACGAGTTCAAGACGCCAAGGTGCCCCGAGCATCCGGAGCGAGCCATCAAACGAGCCATCAGGACTGGTACATTCATCTGGCAATGTCAAACGAAATATATGGCACAGAATCTCGGGTGGCACACGCCGGACGGCGGACAAGACAGAACTGTGGGTCCGAATGAGTTCTTCTAGTGCAGCTTTCTCTGCCGGGAGAGCATCGAGACGCTGCTGTGCGGCTTCGACGATGTTCCGGATTGTCTGTGCATCCATTGGCGGGTCGTTATTCAGTAGGAGAGCGTGTACTGCAGGTGACGGTACTAGGTCGAACATCACTGCGGACTACGGCCTGCAGCTGGTCGTAGGTTAGAAAATTGAGCTTGTCGCGGCGAATGTGCAGTACCTACCAGATTGAACGGCGTTCAACTCCAACCGCAACTGTGGCTGTGCACCATCACTATGTGGCTGTGCGACCAAAGGACCAAATTCGTAGCAACTCGTTCCTTCAAGCAAACCACCACCAGCCGCCATGGTACGCCCTGTTCTTCTCTCTTTAGCCTCTTTTTGCGAATCCTTTGGCTTCTGGCTACTTGAATTGCTGCTGGACGGTGTCGGATAGATGGATTCCAAAACTTACTTTTGGATGTCGTCTGAGCGTTCTTCCTCATTTTGCGTTTCTGGCTGCCCAAGCTGTTCTCAATCGAAAAGCTGACTCGTGAATGTCGTTTTTGTAGCCGCCCAAGAAAGTCAAGGCCCCCAAGGAGGAAAACGTGTCTCTCGGACCTCAGGTTCCCGAGGGTCAGTGTTTTCTTACCTTACTTCACACTCGACTGACTCTGAACAACACAGGAACGCTCGTCTTTGGAGTCGCTCATATCTTTGCGTCCTTTAACGACACCTTCGTCCATGTCACGGATTTGTCTGGCAAGGAAACCATCTCCCGTGTCACCGGTACGCATTTTTACCAACTCAGTCGACTATTTCTCAACTCAATAAACGACGGCAGGCGGCATGAAAGTCAAGGCCGATCGCGACGAGTCCTCGCCTTACGCCGCCATGTTGGCTGCCCAGGACGTCGCCACCCGCTGCAAGGAAGTCGGCATCACCGCCCTCCACATTAAAATCCGCGCCACTGGCGGAACCGGCACCAAGACCCCCGGCCCCGGTGGCCAGAGCGCCCTCCGCGCCCTTGCCCGCGCAGGCATGTCCATCGGCCGCATCGAGGACGTCACCCCCGTCCCTACCGATTGCACCAGGAGAAAGGTGCGTTTATTACTTGCATCCAACACCATATTTCGCATTCTAATGCTTGTTCTCTAGGGTGGTCGTCGTGGTCGTCGTCTGTGAGGAGTAAAATACTGTTTGTATGTACATACATACATTCAATGTCGCCGCTCGACGCGCAACAGGGTTACACCTGTCCCGCGGTCGTCACTTCCAAAATGTTTGTGATGATCTGGAAAGTTGTATTGAGTTAAAGAGAGTCAAAGTTCATTGACTGAAGGATTCAAGTTCAAGCCGTTGCACAAGGAAGAGGTGTGGATGAGTTTTATTAAACAGTTCCGGATATAATACATGTGAGTTTTTGATAATACAGTGTATAGTCCTTGCGCCTATAAGAGGCGATGAAGTGCAGGATAAGCCCGAAAGCGAATTCAAATCAATCGAAAACGAAGAATATAATAAGGGTTTGCAGTTTAACGGGTCAAGGGCGCAGCAGCACAGCCCTTGGCTGTCTGGCCCTCGATCCCCGAGCAGCACGAGAGCAGTTGAGTGCCGTTTGAACTAGAAGAAAATGGTACATCAGCACAAGGAAAAAAAATAAAAAGGAATATGAAAACTCACCAGCTCTCGATTCCGCGCAGCTTCGTCACGGGCGAGCATCCTGTGGCCTCGTCCTCGCCGTTCAGGGCGCTGCAGCAGTACGTCGTCTGCGATGCACACGTTGGCGCTGCCGGCGCGGCGCGTTTGTGCCCGTC